AAAAAAAAGATTCGTCTTACAGACAACCAAACCAAACTAGTGGTGTTGTGCCCACATCGCAAGACCCCCAAGAAAGACCACCACAGAGCCGATATCTGATGCAAAACACAAAGGAGTTCATTGATAACAAGCAAGGTCGGGCTTGGTCCGCATCCAACATCCGACACAGGGGGTGGAGGAGGATGGCCTGAGCACTCACTCACTTGAAGGAATTTATATAGGAAAGGTTTACATGCAGCTTGGGATTGGATGAGGGGGCTAGGGGTGAGGTAGTTCTTTGAAGTTACTGGCTGAAATATAAGCATGAAGTTACTGATGGCTAACAGGATTCAGGGTATCTACAGAAACATAAATTTTTTTACTCCTTATGTCCTGCTTTTGCTGAACCCAGGATAGATACATTCAGATTTATTGTTCCAGTCCTATTCTCCCATAAGTTCAATTTCTGGTCAGTTGAGTCCATTACTTCCCATATCCTGTTTTGCCAAGTCCAGGATATATACACTTATTGTTTCAGCCTTATGTTCCTATGAGTTCAACTTCTGGTCAGTTCTAAAACTGCTGGTCAGCAAATACCTTTGGTGGGGGGGGGGGAGCATCTCTCAAGATGGCTACTGATTTTTCCCTTTCAGTGGGAACTCATGAAGATTAGATAAACAGCAATGGAGCCTGCATGGGACTGGACTAGGCTCTCTGCACAAGCGAGATAGTTGTGTAGCTTGGTCTGCTTAAAGGGCAGTAGGATCAGGATTAACCCCTGGTGCATCAGCTGGCTTTTTGAAGCCCACTACCTATGATGGGACACCTCAAACAGCCTTGAGGCAGAGGGAGGGGCTTGGACCTACCTCTACTAAGTATACCAAGCTCTGCTAACTCCCCATGGAAGACCTTACCTTCTTGTGGGAGGGAATGGGGGATGGGTTGCGGGGGAGGTTAGAGGGGTGGAAGGAGGGAAGAGGGGGATCTTTGATTGTTATGTAAAATGAATAAAAAATTTTCTTAAACAAAAAAGAAAAAAGTTATTTTTAGAAGCAGTGCACTATAGAAAATTTGAATACCTTATACTTGGAGGAGGAGGAGAAGGAGGAGGAGGAGGAGGAGGAAGAAGAAGAAGAAAAAGAAGAAGAAGAAGAAGAAGAAGAAGAAGAAGAAGAAGAAGAAGAAGAAGAAGAAGAAGAAGAAGAAGAAGAAGAAGAAGAAGAAGAAACAAATGGGAAATCACATCCCGGTGCCAGATGATGAACTTTAGTCATTAATTTATGCATCTATCAATGAAGATTATCCTGCTCATGTGAGACAGGAAGCCCACATAAATTCTACTCCTTTTGTTTATGTGCATGTTATATACATTGAAAATGTTTTACTACAGCAATAAAACTCAATCCTCAACACCATGTGGCAAGATTCATACCATGACCTATAATCAAAACTACTTTTGCTTCTCTGCCGCCTGTGGGCTTGGGAAGGTTCTTCCGAATCTTTAGTGTACGGGGACTCTGAGCACTGGGGAGTCTGAGCACTGGGGAATCTGAGTGGCAGAGACTTACTCTCCAGCTATTTTGAATAATTCACTTTCTCAGTTTCTGGGAAGTATACCAAGAAAGATTCACTCTGACTTCTCAAATGATTGTTAATTATGCAGTGACACTTGCATTTAGCACCACCTTTTAAAACCCATCTCTTTAGAGATGGCAGGAATAAAACCACATGTTTTTTAGGGCTGATTGAACACTTGACAAAACAATGTTTTCTGATGAAATACTTCTATCTTAATTTTTGCTTTAAGTGTATTGGTTCCACTTTAGCACTGGAGATTTAACTCAATCATGGAAAATGTCTTTCAGAAATCCTCATCAATAAGGGCAACCTTAACTATCAAATAGCTAAATCAGGTACAATTTCTATCAGAAAAAAAAATGTCAACTTTATTTTTCTACTCAAATAGCTATTTTAAATTTTATAAAACATTTGTGAAACTGATCCCTAAAAATACTAATCAAGGTAATGCACCTCTAACTGTTACATGTTTAAGTAGGCTGTAGAGCAAGATGATCAACATGCTCTGACATAAAGTCACGCTGGCAAATTTATGTCACCTTGACACAAGCTGGAGTCATCTGGGGAAAAGGAACCTCAAATGAGAACATTCCACACCACACTGGCCTGTAGGCAAGTCTGTGGGGGCACTTTCTTGATTGATGATTATCATGAAGGGGCCCTGTTCACTGTGGGTAGTGGCAGCCCTGGGCTGGCTGAGCAAGCCATAGGCAGCAAGCTAGTAAGCAGCATCCTCAGCATCCTCCACGGCCTTTGCATTAGTTCCTTCCTCCAGGCTCCAGCCTTGAGCTCTTGTTCCAACTTCCCTCAGTGATGGGCTGGTACCAGGAATCGTTAAATGAAAGAAACCCTTTCCTTCCTGAGTTGCTTTAGGTCATGGAGTTTCATCACAACAAACCCCCAAGACAAAAGTGTTATGATTTGAATAGGAAATGTCTTTCAAAGGCTCTATTTCAGAAGTCACTGAAACTTTTGGACATGGGGCCTGGCTAGCAGAGGTAGGGCCCCGGGTTTACAGGATATAGCTGACTCAGGCCTGGCTTTCTGCTTCCTGGTATGAGATCTGAACATTCCCAACCATATGAACCTATCACCACAGGCTCTGAACATGCCTTTCCCACTATGAGAGCCTGTAAGTTCTCAAACCATGAGCCAAAATAAGTCATTCTTCTTCTAAGTATCTGTCAGGTATGTGGACTTAATGGCAGTAACTAGTAAAAGTAACTAACCTACAAGGTAGGTTGTTTCTCCAGAAAACTTGTATGCAACTCTTGAATGCTGTTGACTGGCTTTGAAGAATAATTATGTAAAAATTCATGTCAAAATCAAGAATACCACTAAGAATGAAAAGGTTCTTCCAGGCTGTTAATCGGTCTAACAGCACAGAAATTTTGTTCCAATTAGGAAAGGATATTAAATATTTTATATGATAATGTGAGGAGAAATGTTTATAATTGAATAAACATTTCATGTCATAATTTGTACAATAGTTTTGACAATTTTATTAAACAATGTACATCATCTGAAAGAATCCTCATGAAAGTGCCTTTATCTTTGGATTTAGCCACTTGATAGCTTCAGAAAGCCTTATAATTCCATTTAAAATAGTCAGCAAGAGACACAACGACATGTACCTGTAGTCCCAGCTACACAGGAGGCTGAGACAGGATTATTGCTTGAGCCCAGGAGTTCAAGGCCAGCCTAGGCAACATAGCAAGGTCTGGTCTCAGAATGAATGCATGCATGCATGCATGCATGCATAAATGAATGAATGAGTGAGTGAATGAGCAAACAAACAAAATCAGCACTGCCAGTCCATGACGTCTTTCCTGTTTCTTGTTAGTTGAGTAATCTTCCTAGTCAAGTAATCAAAATCTACCCTATGGACAGATGCTAAGAACTGTAGAAAATGGTTCTACACAATCCCTTGCAGAAGCCATTTTTCCCTAGTTGATGTCTCCTACCATTTTGTTGTGTTGTTGTTATTGCTCCACCCTGTCCACGATCTCCCTCAAAAGGACAGGGAGGAAAAGGAAGACGTGTTAAATAAATATTGTCCTTATTCCCATCATTCCACCTTCCATACATCTACAATCTGAAAATCCATATGAGTCCAAAGACCCCATTTGTTGCTCATTAACACTATAATCATCATTAACACGAATAGGAAAAGGAAAAGCCTGAGACTCTGTCTTCATGACTAATTAGAAGGAACCTTCTGTTCCCTCTATCTAGAGTTGGGTGTCATGTTAAGGGCCATGTGTCATATCTGAGAGAGATGAAATTTCTCTTCAAAAAAATAGTGTGGAAAAGGATTATTATGAACCCAGAATCATTTTCTGCAGATTGATTTTAGGAAAAGAATACAGAAGACCTTAAAACAAACTTCCTTAAAGCTACTCATAAACATACAAGTATACGCTCTGTGGAAAGCTGTCACATACTCCATTCTGAACTTCTTGAGTCTCTTCTGCTCATATATCGTCTTTCCTGAACCAATTCAAGACTTCTTTTCTTTTTTTCAATCATAGAATCTCAGGGCCTGGAGGAGGATTACTGGACATTTCCAAGGAGAACCCGAGGAGGTGCAGATGGTACCACGGTCAGACTGTTGGAATGGTATGGAGGAGCTTGTTTCCAGTCTGCTTAGTGCTACTGCAAGTAGTTCCACTGTAAACAACAACTCTTGATAAAGGTCCCTGACCCTTTGTTGGTAAAACAAGGGTCTCATTGCTCCCTAGGCCCAAAAGATTAATGTTGAAAACTGCCTTTCCAGCGGTTTCCAGGTGATAGATGTGAGTGAGGCAGGGAGTGAGAACAGATGAAGAAGGCATGTTTCATGCCAAGGCAGGGTCCGCTGTATCAGCTGTTCTCCTATTGTTACAGCGGCCATTTTTCTACCTAGATGTTTACATGGACTCTCTCAATTTGTAAGCACTTGCAACTAAACAACACTCTTAAAAAACACAGTGTAGACAAAGTAAGGGGTCAACAGGTTATATCTGGTCCCTAGTTGTTTGGCCATCTGCTCTCCAAGGCGATATGGTAATACTTTTTTTGCCACTGGTGAGAGAACAAAGTCTTTGATCAAAGTCTGGGGCTCCTGCTTGACTCCAGCCAGCCTCCAAATGTAGCCTTGCTCTGCCATAGCAGGTATTAACCATTAACAGTTTAATGGCTGCTCCTGGAATGATTCTTGTATGTTTACAGTGGATGGCAGGGTCAACAATCTATCCCTGTAAGCTTATGGAGGCTGTATAAGCCGTCTTCAGTGACCTCCCAGAATACCACAGGATTTTTTTTTTCAGAACTGTAAACATCATGCATTCCAACTTCTGTGTTTTTACAACTGCTGGCAACTATTTCTTTGGGGGGTACCAGCACTCTGATTAGTAAATGGAAGCTCCATGGCCTCCAGTCTTGGTTTAGACATGCTCCTCATAACCATGGTCTCCAGAGCTCCAAGAACTTTCAGTTGAAGAAGCATCTGTAATTCCAGGTTTCAGATTTTCTTATATACACAATATATAAGAAACCTACAATAAACCCTAGGTTGTTTTTACTAGAGATGGTGTATTATTTCAAAATTATGTCCCCAAATTCTTTAGTTTTCCCCATTTCAAGAGATGTAACTTGAGTTTCTATCTTGTAGAGTATACCATAAGACTGTAAACTTAATGGCTAATTTACACGAACAGAATATGGTATTCGGTTTGGGGATATCGTTTGTTTGCTTTCTAGTTTCTTTTTCTTTTTTTCTGGTCTCTGATTGTAAACCAAGCTGGCCTGAAACTCACTGTGCAAATGAGGCTGACCCAAGCTGATGGCAATCCTTTGGACTTGACTCCTTAGTTCTGTGATTATAGATGTGAGCCACCATCCCAGCACAATGGTGAGGTCTGAGACTTGATCAGAGTTACTTGGGCTTGTTCCTAGCTCTTTTTTGGGTGTGGTATGGGGTGGTGGTGGTGGTGTTGGTGGCGGCGGCGGCGGCGGCGGCGGCGGTGTGTGTGTGTGTGTGTGTGTGTGTGTGTGTGTGTGTGTGTTGCTGTAGATAAAATCCAAGGTTTTATGCATGCAAGGCAAGCTATTCTACCAACTCAATGATATTCCCAAACATCTCTTGATATATTCTTTAGGAGGGCAGAAATTATGGGGACATCTAGACAGCTCTGCCCAAAGACCTGTGTATAGAGGGACTGAGATGCTGTGGTGGTTTGAAAAAAAATGGCTCCCAAAGGGAGTGTCACTATTAGGAGGTGTGGCCTTGTTGGAGGAAGTGTGTCACTGTGAGAGCGGGCTTTGAGGTCTCTTTTTCTCAAGTTTCCCTCAGTGTGACAGTCAGTCGACTTCCTGTTGCTTCTGAGTCAAGGTGTAGCACTCTCAGCTCCAGCACCACATCTGCCTGCATGCTGCCATGCTCCCCTTCATGATCATAATGGACTGAACCTCAGGTATTGTAAGTGAGTCACCCCAACTAAATGTTTTCTTGTAAGAGTTGCTGTGGTCATGGTGCCTCTTCACATCAGTGGTAAACCCCAAGATAGGTGCCAGGCCAACAGCCAAGGGAGTGGGCGTGGTTCTCCAACCCCAACCAGAACATCAGGTAGCTGTAGCATCATTTGACATCTGGGCTGCTAGGAGATACTAAAAACCACCAGCTATACTACTCCAGAAATCCTGACCTGTAGAACCTGTGGGATATGAAAGTATATGGTTTCAATATGCAAAATGTGGTTGCCACCTCTTTAGTAGCAACAGATGATTAAGATAGACAGAAATCAAATAACAGAGAAATGCCACCCCAATGGCCCAGTCTCATCATCCCTTCATAATCTTAATTTGATAAGGCAGAGTATATCCCCTCATAGCTGCGATACCCATCCAAGCAAAGGGAGCTTGTTGAGTAGGAAAGTAAGGATTGTTTCTAAGTAGAAAGGTAATGAAATAAAAGAAGACCTTCCTTTATATGCAGAGGCATTAGCCTCTGGGTGTGTATACAGGTGCTGGCATCTCACCTGAGATGTGCATTAATTTCAAATTAAACCTAAAAACCTCCAATTTATAAGATATCTCTTGACATGCACGATCAGGAGCCAGGGTCTTCCCCCAAAGCATCTCTGTCCACCCTACTGAGGATACACTCCCAGTGTGGGGATTGTAAGACCTCTCTATTTCTCTCTCTCTCTCTCTCTCTCTCTCTCTCTCTCTCTCTCTCTCTCTCTCTCTCTCTGTCTCTCTCACACATTAGTTTTCTGTTCTTTATCCTCTACTGAGTTGAAATCTCAGTATCTACCGTACACCAGTCGATTTTGAAGCTGTTCCATAAATCAAGGGGATGCTTCTGT